TTTTCTACAGTAAATCAATTCTCATTTTCAACCACACATTTTTCAATAAAATAATATTTTCCATCACATTAATACTTTTTTCTTCTTTTTCAACCACAAATTTCCCATCATATCACTATTCAAAAATCAATTTTTCCCCCCAAAAATCCCTACCAAACACGCTCTATAAAGGAAAAGAAGAGTTAAAATGTGCACTCTCTATGTACATCCAGTCTTGCCACTTCTTTGTAAGAATGATATTCCGACCTTCTTTCTTTTTTTTCCCTATCATTCTCTCTGTCTCCCTCATTTATCTCAGTGTAAATGGCATTACCTTGAACGAAATTTACCTCACAAATAGTATTGAATCGAGTTCAAATGACACACCTTGTGCTCATAAACAAAAATAACACTTGAGAAGTTAGAACATGGAAATTGATTTGTCAATTCTATCTTTGATTCACCATGCCGATTGTCTATTTACATTGTCATTATTGTTAAAATTTGGGGTTTCATCTTAAAAGGTCGATCTTGTTAAGAGGAGTAGTTGAAACTCTGATAAATTAGTTTATGTTTTCATTGTTATTCGATGGATTTATCCCTTAACATGCCTTCTCAAGATGGTGGCTCATTTTGAGCAGATCAATCTTGAAATCTGTATACTCATTTTTTTAAGTCTTAATCGGATCGAATTGCTCGTTGGAGGTTAATGAGTTCTGGTATCATGTTAAAATTTGAGGTTTCATCTTAAAAAGTCAATCTTGTTAAGAGGAGTAGTCCAAACTCTTATAAATTGATCTATATTTTCATCTTTATTCGATGTGGAATTTATCCCTTAACAATTATAATATCATTTTGATTCAAGCAGCACATGGTAAACTAGTTCGTCGTAATATAATTATAAAACTTAAGTTGTGGAGGTGAGATATATTAGGTACGCAGTATATGATTTCACAACAAAGTACCCCGAAAAAGTAACACGCAGTAGATTAAAACTAGTTAGTTATTCATGAGATACGAATTAACTCACACGTCTACTAACCTAGCATCCTGAACATACTTTTTTAAAGCTACTTTAATATTATGGTAACGGTTATAGTTAAAACTCAAGGATTCATAAAGTAATATTTTGAAATTACTAAGAACTATAAATAATAGTAATGACCAACTGTATTTATGTGAGGAGTGTGCAGATAACTGGACTGGGATCGATGATGGTCATGCCATTGGTTGGATACTTTTCCGACACTTACGGGAGAAAAGTCATGCTAACCCTCCCCATGACTCTTTCGATCTTCCCTTCAGGTACTCTTCCTTAATTTTGTCGAATTTTTTACATTCTACTAAGGATCCGTTTGAAAGGAATGAACATATTTTAATAATTTTCTGATTTTTTTTTTTAAATTGACCTAAAAGAAGCAAAAATCCCACCAAAATGGCCCTAAAAAAGTGTCTAAAACCGTATAAATCTGATTACGTTATTTACATAAGTTACTTACGTGATTAATGATTTGTGGTTTCAGTCATATTAGCATACAGCAGGACGAAATATTTCTTTTATTCTTATTTTGTGCTCAGCACTCTCATTGCCATGGCCAGTCAAGGAAGTGTTCAGTTTCTTGCTCTTGCATATGTGGTACTCGATCGACCGACTAAACTTGGGTTATTTCGTCGACAATATTAAGGTATTGAAGCTGTTAATATTTCTCCTAAATTTCAGGCAGATAATGTTCCAGAAAGCAGAAGGGGTGCAGTATTTGGGATAATGTCAGGCATTGCATCTTCTTCATTTGTCCTTGGGAACTTCTCTGCTCGTTTCATTTCAACTTCAGCTACTTTTCAAGTATTTTCTTTCTCCACTACGTTATGTTTACTTATCTTTAAAATAAGTGATTTTCGAAAAGTGTAAGTTACAATGTTAAGAGTAAATCAGGCAATTATTCTTACAGGTTTCTGCAGCAATGGGAATGATATCATTGGTGTATATGAGAGTGCTTCTTCCAGAATCAATGATGAATAAAAGCATGCGTTCTAAGGACAAAGAAACTGAATGTCTGTTGGAAAAAACTCCTGCAAAAAAATGGCATCTATTCAAGACTCTGCCCTCATTGAATGATACCCTTTGCTTGTTAAGAAATAGGTCAGCCACAATGCCTCAGTTTCATTATAGCATTCTTAGCAGTGTAATCGTAACCTGTTACGGTTAAGCTAGCCCTAACTCCAATTACGAGAGCAAGATTAAGCAAAACGATACTACACAGGGCTTATAAAGCTTTCCTCTAAAAAAATTCATAAATAGCCACGAATATGTTAAGTTGTTGAGTCTAATTATAGCTACTACTGGAGTTAGTATGCGGATCAAGGTCGTTAGGATTTATTCTGATCGCCATCAAAAAGAGAGAAAGATGTGACAGAAAAGGAGTTAGTGTGTGTGTCCTTTAGGCTTATGCCCCTCTTATACAAGATTATTTTGCAGCCCTACATTTGCAAAAGTAGCTATTGTTGCATTCTTCACCAATGTTGCTGATGCTGGCCTCATGGCTTCTTTAATGGTATGTTACTTTTTGCAGCAAAATGTATGTATATTTAAGTTGGATGCAATAGGAACTTGTTTAAACAGCAAGAACAAAGCTAATTGACATTATTCTTCAAACTATTATAAGCATTTTTCAGATCAAATCTCGCGAATAATGAATTACAGAAAGCAGAGTAAAACTACAGCATCTGAGAATTTAAACTTTTTGAACGAACTTCTTTATTTACATTTTGTCTTTAATTTTCCCTGAAGTGCAAGTCAGTTTCATCTTTTATTATCGGTCTCACATGCATACACAATTTCCATAAATTAATGGTGACGACTGACGAGTCTTCAACTAATGAATATCAAGTTGAACTATATCATCTAAACACTCTTGAGTTAAACATGCTATTAGAGGAACCTTTGTGCAGCTTTTAACGACTCTGTTTTCATTGAACCTCTTCGCAGTACTACTTAAAGGCTCAATTTCACTATAACAAGGATCAATTTGCTGATATAATGATAATTTCTGGTGTTGCAGGATCAATATCACAGGTAATTAGTTTGTTGCATTTTACTATGTTGCTTGTCATTTACTTATATTAAGGTTCTTATATTAAATTTTATTTTCATGTTGGATTTTGAACTCTTGCAGCTAATCTTCATGCCTATACTAACTCCTCTTGTGGGAGAAGAGAAGTTGCTTTCAATAGGGCTCTTTTTCAACTTTGTTCATGTAAGAAACTTTTAACTTAGTATTCGATGTCGAATATCTAGATTATTTAAATCTCGATAGGAAGTTTAACGATAAATACATCTTCGATCGAGCACACGCATTTATTTCTGTAGACTAATATGTGTCACTGAATGCAGATAATTCTTTACAGCATTGCATGGGCACCTTGGGTACTCTCCTCTGCATTCTCAATTGAAATTTTATGTATATAAGCTCTTTGTTACTTAATTTTCTTGATTAATTAAAATCTTGTAGGTTCCATATGCTGCTGCCATGATCTCTAGTGTGGTTATTTTTGCAATGCCATGTGTAAGTCCATTTCGTCACAGAACTCGTAATCACTCATTTATTGAATATTTGGTACGTTGGACTGGACAAACTTTATTTTGTTCTGAATATTGCATGTGCAGATGAGGAGCATTGCATCCAAACAAATTGGACCCAGTGAGCAGGTGAGCTTTTTCGAAGAATCCTATTAGCTTATATCAATTTGACATAGGAATTAAATTGAAAAGATACTTCAAATCAAGTCCCGATGTCTTTTCTTGTTTTTCAGGGAAAGGCTCAAGGGTATGTCACTGGCATATGTTCCTTTGCCAACATTGTCTCTCCACTTGCTTTCAGCCCTTTAGCAGGTTAGTAACAACGCAAGTAATTTGTCCAAATTTAATCTAATTTGATAAAATTAATCAAATTATAATCGAAGTCCCTTTCTTTTCAGCTTTGTTTTTGTCAAATAATGCACCCTTCCATTTCCCTGGATTCAGTATTATGTGCTCTGGCCTTGCTGCTGTAAGTAGAAACACTGACTTGCTTTCTTTCGACCTCTTCGTAAATTTTAAATCTAGAGGTACGATTTGTACCCTCGACTGAACATGATTAGATATCGTCAAATAAGAGAAGCATGTTAACAAATTAACTATGATGAATTCTGTTTCTCTTGTAGATGATAGCCTTCATTCAGAGCATCACGATAAGGGCTAATCCTCCTGTTACAACTTATGTCGTGGAAAATTCAGACACCCTTGAACCTTAAATTGAGGAAAAGATGTTCGAGCGTAGGATAAAGGCATAATTAGGTAATAGATGTTTTATGTAATATAATTGTAAGATGCTTGTATAATATATATATATATTCATGGTTTATATAAAGGGTTGTTTGGCAAAACTTTAGATAAAAATTGATTAATTTTATGGTTGATAAAAGTTGTGGGTGAATTCGATGCTCAACTTCTTGAGCTTTTTCTAAACAAGAACTTAGTCACAATCTCATAATCAAAGACAGAGAATTACAAAAATGAGAATATTGATCCATTGATTATTTAGAAAATAAGTACAAATTTAATTGACAGTTACTTTGCCAATCATGCCAGCACCCTGGTGAGGTGAACAGTAGAAACTGTATGTTCCCTTCTCAGTCAATGTCACTGAGTAAGTCTCCCCTGGTGCATTCAGAAGGTCATTTTCGCCCATGGATATCTTAGACACGTCCACTCCGGTCGGAACTTCATCCTCATCAAACACCACGTTGTGTGGGAACCCAGCGTTGTTCTTGAAAACAATCTTCTCCCCCGGAGCCACGGAGAAATCTCCAGGAACAAAAGCTAGTTCACCACCACCACCACCAAGCAACACCTCAATGGCCATTGCATTGCTGGCCAGCATTGCACTGGCAGCCGTGGCGGCAACCACCACACCAAAATCCTTCAAGGAGGCCTTCACGGCGAGCTTAGGGACAGCGGTGGTGGTGGTGGTGGAAATCTTGGCGGTTGAGGTGGCCTTTGAGGCTGAACCACCAGCCTTGAGGCCAGTGAATGATGGGATAGAAACAGCAGCAGAAGTAACAATGGCCATTTTTGTTTGCAACTGGCGTATTTGTCAAGAAGATAAAGCTTGGTAAAGGGTTTTATTATGTGATAAAGGGTGGATGTGTGTGGTGTGTGTTTATAGAGAGGGAATGGCAATCAGATAATGCGTGCATGGATGGTAAAATGGGATTATCTGATCGGAATAATCTCATTGGTCTATCGTGATTCTATCCTCTGACGTGGAATTGGATTTTCTGAAGTGAGAGACAAGATGAGGAAATTAAGATAGGTTTTGAAGACCAAAAGATCTGACGGTCCACAATAAATATAGAAAGGATTAAATGAGTTTGACAGAAAAGGACTTTTAGAAAATAAAATAAAGGCTAAATATTAATAAGCAAGAGGAGAAGTGAGTGAAAAATGGGGAGAAATTTAGAACCCATATCAGCTGCTTTTCAGCACATTGGTAACACCCTTTAAATACATATATGAGCTTCTCATGCAGTACAATGAATACAATACGTTCTAAAATTGTAGTACACTTAATTTGGTACAAAGATCCAATAGACTATTTCAAAAAATCGACATTTAAAATTATGTTTCAAGAGATTTTTTTAATTAATATTTTAATTTAAAGAATGAGTTTGATTTTTCAAATTTGAAGATCAGAACCCACATTTTATAATTGAATGCATTCAAAATGTCAATTTTGCTACCGTTACAATTTCCTTGACAATTTTGTTGACATTGTGTGACATGACACATATTTTTGTCATTGATTTTAACAAAATTTAAAACAACCAGTAATCTCGATTTTGACACCTCACACAAGGTCAAGGAAAATATACATTTTTAATGTATAAATAGCTTAATCATTTAAACTATTTCATTTTTCAATGGAGGAAAATAATATAATAATTTAAAGGAAAGTAAGTGAAAATTAAAACAACAAAAAAGGAAAAAATAATAAATATTTTTTTAAAACAATAAACTTAAGTGTTAAATATAAAGAGCATATCGGATTACTTAAAGGTTTTTACTCCAAGTTTATAAGCACTCTAAATTGTAGAATATATTCTTTAGAAATAAAGAGTCTTTTGGAGATGTTCTCATAAGAATTCTTTAAAATTATTGTTGAAAAAATTATATTGCATTCATAAAACTATAATGCTTCACGTACATTGCTTACGTGTCAAGGGACAGCTAGCACGTACAATGCCGACGTGGCCCTGTACATGTAGCGTCGCTTACGTGTCAAGGGACAGCTAGCACGTACAATGCCGACGTGGCCCTCTACATGTAGCGTCGTTCTTAATAAAATAGTGTATTGATATGTAAAATAATGACACGTTCTTAGCTTTCTTATTTCAAATAGGTAATAACCTACATCGACTGCTTTGAGCAACAATTATGATCTCATAACTTTAATAAATAGAATACTCAAAATAATTAATCGATATTGAAATAATATTGTTATATAAATTTCGAAAACTATTCTCACTTTTCCAATACTTAACTTGAGGGATATTTTTGTAATATCTATTCATTTAACCCTTGGGTCCCAACCAACGTTTAGAACCTAACTTCACTTTCTGCACTTGCCTCCCTACTAACATATTGCACCCAAAACCGTTAAAAAGTAACACCATCTTGCATGTGATGTGTTAAGATAGAAACTTATTCTGCCCCTCCCAACAATCCATCTCTGTTCAGCACCCCCCACACACCCGTCAGATCATCCCCTTCCCCCTTCAACCCCTCTGCCTCCTACCATCCCGTCCGTTATCCCACTTTTTCCCCAGTCTAGCAAACATTAGACTTGTGTCTTCCTCTCACACTTCATTCCCTGCTTCTGGGTAATATGATGCCAGTTCATATAAGCATAGTGGATATGGAGAAAAGGGAAGGGAATTGATCGAAGTACAGTGCTTCTCGTTTTCTGGCCCAAGAAAAAACTTCTCAGGTCCTCCAGAGAAGGAAGCTCGTGCAAAACAACTGAAATTAATTCATTTAATCATTCAATTTAAAAAACGAACTCACCGTGCATCTCTTTTCATCAGTCAGCAGATTCTAATACCAGAAGCTGGCAATGTCCTTGTTCAAAACACAAGATACTGTATACTTAGCAGGTTTACCTAACAGATGTGAAGCCAATTATTTAATTAAACACCCAACACTTTAATGCACAAACAGAAAACCATAAATGACTATATAGATTCCAGCCACCAAAATAACCAAGCAATAAAACAACATATACTTGAATCTCGTGTCTTGCATCGAGGGCATCTAGCCGTTCTGGCTACTGCTAACATGAAGCACTAACAAAGAGAATTGATTTCAATCAACTTGAAAAAGTAAGGTCCCTTAATTTTTTCTGACAAACTTCTTTTTGCACTAAAAAAGAACAGAGAATAAACCACGACACTTCCATTTTATAACCTTTTAAATTAATAAAACCTCTCGTTGAAATTGTACAAACTAATTTCATTTTTTCATACAAGGTCTCGTTCTATTTTCATTGGCACACTATCCCTTCATTCAATCACAAATCTTGAAAGAGGAAGCTTCCAAAAAGAAAAGTAGAATGAATTGCAGTGGGAAATTTCTACACTTTCAGCCATTGCAATATGAACAAGTTGAAAGAAGATTTTAACTAGTATAATCACAAGAATATATCTTTTAACCAAACTATTACCCAGCAAGTAAATTACAGTTGAAGATTAAGGAAGATCATCTCATACTCACATCAGAATATTAATGTTGTTATACTTCTCTATACAAATCTCAGATTAATGCTACTTATTTGATCATAAGAACAGCAACATATTCTTTTAGAGTAATGCAGACCCACGACTAAGATAAGTAGAATGTACATTGATACGTAAACCAATCTCACTAAACGCATTATTTATCACTTTATAAAAGAGGAAAAATATCATCATTGTCGTCTTCATCCAGGTTAAAATAATTGATGCCCATATTGCTGTTGGGATTTGGGTTGAAGCTTGAATTCACATAGCATTTCATCTCGTGGAACAA